GCTGCGCTCCGTGTGACGGCAGCGAGCTCCGCGCTCGCCGCCCGCTCCGGCCCTCCCTTCTCTCCGAGCTCCGCGCTCGCCGCCCGCTCCGGCCCTCCCTTCTCTCCGAGCTCTCCCTCCTCCCGCTTCCCGCTCCGCCGCGCGCGGCCGCCCGGCACAAGCTGCGGCGCACGGAGGGAGGCGGCAGCTCTGCAACGTGCCCGTGGAAATCACCCCCTTCTCAGCAATTGCTCCATGATGGACTGCACAGAGCTGCAAAAAGCAGCGACGCTCCAGGCTCCTTTGACAGCTCCAGTGATTTGTGGCTGGCTCAGAATTAATTTACCGAGAGAGGTGAGGAAGCTGCTCGCTGCCGACTACAGCGTTTCTGGAAGCAGCCGGGGGACTGGCAAGGGGAAGGAAACCGCAGGAATCCCCTCCTCGGAGCTCCTGAACCTGCACTTACAAAAGGTCTTTTCCCTACTTGCCTTTCGTACGCTGGCAAATACGGTTCTGCTTTTGTGGGGAAATCTGCAGCGACACCGAGTTCAGGTTTCCCGGTTTTAAAAGCACTTGCATCAAGGGAAAAGGAGGCTGGGGGGCTGCAGGGGGGAAAGGAGAGCGGGTTAGCTTGAAAAAGCCAAAAGCAACAGCCCAAAATACAAATCCTTGTACCCTTGGAGGCTGCAAAGGCAACATAGGAGCAAATGGAGCCCGGCTGTTGTGCTCCCCTTCCCAGCAAGAGCTTGACCGCAAGCTCAGGGTAAAACAAATCCTAATGCCCAGGCAAGGCAGCTCCATCCTCCTTTCTCATGCTCCAGATTTTAAGAATCCTACCTTTAGTGTGATGGCAGGGGGAAAAACAGCATTGGATAGAACAAAGCTAGAAGGAATTTGAGTGTTTTTGAAGTTGCAGCAAAAAGAAATTGAAAAAGAGGCAAACCAATTCTTCTTGCAAGACGTCTGAGGTAACACGGCTCGCTTCCAAGAAAATGGGATAACAGAGCGGCCAAGGCAGCCGAGGGAAGGAGGCAGCAGCATCCCTGCCACAAAACCTCCCCGTTTCACCTGCCCTTCACACACGCTGCCCAAAAAGGCAGGAGGAGAAAGGAAAATACAGATGGGGAATGTGCGGTGACACTTGGGGAAATTCCTGCCCAAACTGGTAAAATTGCAGAAAAGATGGATCCAAGGGGCAGCTTCAGGCGTGCAACGAGGTCGCAGCACTCGGGAAGATTTTTAAACTAACGCTTAGTCCCGGTGCTGCCCTCCTGGATCCTGAACACGGGCTCAGGGCAGAGCTGTCCCTTCCCCAGCCCCAGCCTCCTGAGCATTTCCCAGGGCATTTCTGAAAACGGGAGCGTTCGAACGCAGCACCCTCTCCGGTTGCTCCAATGCTGCATTGCGGAGATAAGAGTTATAATAGTTGCAAATGTGGCTGGTGGAGGCTCTTAACACTCGCGCTGTTGGAGGAAAATCAATGCGCCCAATGACACCAAGATTCCTCCTTCACCTCTTTATGGAAATTAGAGAAGGCGAAGACAAAAATGTACCACTAAATCATCACACACGCCATTTATAAGAGGCAAAAACTAATAAAACTGCACACTTCAAGGCCACAAAAGCATGCAGGTAAACTATTTTTCTATAAAAGAAAGGAAATTGCAAAGAGGAATCTGGCCAGAGCTAAAGACTGTCTACAAAGCCCAGGTTAACATTAACTATGAGGCCACTTTCTTCCTATCTCTGTGCTGGCTTAAGACCATGCGGCATCCAGGAGGTTGTGACCAGGCTGATTTCTTTTCTTTCTGGATTTCCTAATCTGACACCCAAAATAAAGCGTCCCTGGAACTGTTAACATGAGGGGCCTCCTAAGAGCTGCTTTGAGTCCCTCTGTGAAGCAGGGTTTGTCTGCTAGGTTGGAGCATTGTGGGGGTTAGGGGCATGAAAAGCAACTGTACAGCACATCTGAGACACGCTTAAACACAAAAAAATATTTCTGCATCTATGGAAAAATCCTGACTCCAACGTATGACACTGAAATACAGAATCCCCACCCAATGCTCCAGGGCAGAAAGGATTTTCTGAACCTTGAAGAAAACTAGGTAGGCCTAAAATTAGGCCTAGGTAGACCTAGGCACAAAATACTAGGTTGAGGAAATACCTTGAGGGATGGACTGTAAAGGTTCACTTAAGGTATCACCACTAAAATTTCACAATTTCCAGCAGTGAGCGCATGTTTAAAGTTATTTGAAGATGCAAAATCACCTGTAAATCCACGCTAAAGAGCAATGCTGAGCCCCAAAACGCAAGAAGGCACCAGGTTCGGAGCCAGGTCCGAGCAAAACCCCCTCCCCAGGCCCTGGTGCTCTCGGACCGTGCACGAGTGGGAGCCGCTACCTGAGATCCGCTGCTGCTCCTGGGAAAAGTCGATGCCTTCGCCGATGGAGCTCATGATCTTCTCGATCTGAAAGCAAGAAAAGCACGTGCGGTTACTCAGGACTCGTCACAGGCCGCGCGGGGATCTCACCCGCCAAACCCAGGTGAGGAGGTTAAGAAATCCCTGGGCCAGGAGGGATTCCCTGCACACCTCGCCTGGGAACGGCCTCCCGGGGACGGACGGCTCCGAAGGGCCACGGAGGGGCTGGGATCCCCTGGATCCCCAAAATAAAGGGCTCCGGGACGCCCAGCGCGCAGAGGATGAAGCCTGGGGAGAAAAGGAGCCCCCGGCGTGGACACGCAGCCCCTGCCACCAGCAAAGCCCCGGACGGAGCCCGGCTCCCTCCCGGGAGCGCCGGGAGCCTCGGCTGCAGCTCTGCCTGCAAGCCTTGGGTTTGCCTTATTTATTCACCTATTTATTTTTAATGACATTCCCCAATCCTGCGCAGGTACCTCCTGCTCCTCTCCGCTACCACCGAGCGCAGAGATGCCTAGAAAGAGTTTGACAACAGGATGCAAAAGCAGCAACGACCCGGGGCAAATGCCCAGAGGAGCCAGGAGAGGGAGCTCAAGACAATTTCATCCCCCAATTCCAGCGATTCAAAGGCAGCAGCTCAAGACAATTCTCATGCAAACAGAAAAAAGGTCAAAACTATTGCCCAGATGGTATCTTTGCAAGTCTGCCTAAGAGCTGGATACAGGGATTGCATTTGCCATGGTTTTATTTTTAAATTATTTGCAATTTTCATACAACCCAAGAGAAGTTCTATACTATATTATATAGAATTATATATATAATACTGATATATTTACTATATATTGCCATAAAGATCAATAAAAAGTCTTCCAAACCAATCCTAGAGCACAGTTTGCAAATGTGACTATTTTAATACAACACTGCAGAGGGAAAACTCACAGTATCTGCTAGAGTTCCAGGGAAAGGGCTGCTAACTCGCAGTTCAGAGTCTGAACCACCTGCAGCATTGAGCAAACGAAGCCTGAGATGTCTCCAAGAGCAAGGAGACACCGGAGAGGCGCAGATCCGTCGGCTTATCCCAGGATCAGCCCACAACTAAAGTAGGAAATGAAATAAAATAAGCCTCCGGGAGACTCCCAAATAGGAGCCGCTCAAGGAAACATCCCGGAGATTCCCAATGCGAAGCCCATGCCCGGCAGCAATGGCAGAGGAGGGAAACTAAAGCCAAGTTTTTGCCCCCAGCAAATACATCCTTCATCACCTGCCTGGGTTCGAGGCACCTGCGATTCCCTCCACATGCGGTCCTGCTTTCAGAAATCCTCCTCCTTTGCAGGAATTGTGAGGGGGCCTGAAGGAAGCGTCCCCAAAACGCTCTTTTTTGCCTCTGTTCCAGCAAGCAGCACCTGCTTTGGCCTCTCTGAAGCAGCCAGCGCTGCCCCCAGCGACGCCTGGAGCCCCCGGGCACCTTTCCACAACGCCGGGATATAGAGGCCATGGGGACGGTGCAATTCCGGAGGGAAGCAGGGGATGGGGTGACACGAACCACATGTCCAGGCTGAAGCAGGAGCTCGGCTGTGTGGCCGGAGGCTGCGGAGGCCTCCAAGCATAGGAGGCCGTGGAGCTCCGGCCATTTCAGTCCATGGCAAGATGCGGTCCTGGCCCCCAGTGTTCCTTAGCCAGGGGTGCTCCCTGCAGCATCCCCGGAGGCCTGTGAAGCCTTGGGCCACACGTGCTCATGTGGAGCAAGAACCGCCCGGGTCCGGCCCAGCGGGTCTTGGAACCGGTCATCAAGGAGGGTCTAAATACAGACAGGGAGGGAGAGGAGAGCATGCGCGAGCAGAGCGATCCCGCTCCCTCCGCAGCCTTCCCGGCGGATCTCGCTCTGGGCGAGGGCTCAGCTCCGGGAACGGGAAGCAGCTGGGGATGGCAGAGAGCACAAGAACCCGTCGGAGCGGCAGGTTCATCCCCCGACACCCGCTCCTCCCCGGGATGCGGGCGCTGGAGGCCCCGGAGCCGCGCGAGGCTCCACGGCATCGCGATCCGGCGCGGAGGACGCCCGGTCCCCACGTGCTCTTGCTCCCCAAGACACACGCTGGAGACACACACCAGCGCAAACGCGGTCATTGCAGAGCGCGTTGATTGAGCTGCAAAAATAGGAACTCAGGGGGCAAGAGAGAAGGAGAGGGGAGATAAATCTAGGGAGAACAAACACATTAAAGCAGCCCGGTCCCCTCCAACCAGTCCTCAACTGCACAGCGCTCCAGCGGGACGGGAGAGCGGGTTTTCTTGAGCACAGCACACGCTACGGTTTTTTAGGTTGTTCTTTCCCAGTAGTTAATTATTAAAATACAAAAATACCGTGTTTAAATATAGCGCTGCAGCTCAGACGCTGGCGCAGCCGGAACGCTCGGTTCCGCTTTGGTTTGGGCTTAACCTGTTCTTCCCCTCGGAAGCTCCACACAGCTGCCTCCAAACAGGTTGTGGGGGAGTAGGGTTTTTTTTTCCCCTGATATTGGTCCAAATAGCCCCTGAAAACCTTTTATATCCTACAGTAAAACAACCTCACCAGTTATTCCCCATCTAGCAGGGCAGCCAGCTCCGCACTGCCAAAGGGAATCAAGTCCGACAAGGAGCCAAGAGGGAACGGGAACAAAGTCACAAAGCCAAAATCCTTCGGGAACAACCCAGGAAAGGCTGCAAGAAGTCAGCAACCCCCGGAGCAAGGGCTGTGGTGGGAAGAAGTGGCTATGGCAACTGATGTGCACTGATTTAAAGGAGTATTTGCCCAGTTTTGCTGATGAAATAATGAGAATAGCCCCAAAAAAGGGAGCTGGGTGCGGCGGCGGAGCCGTCCCGGGCTGCGGGCGGGCAGGCAGCCACGACAACATAGCAACCGGCAACGCATCTCCACAACACAAGCGGGTCTCAAAACAAACTCGCCCCGGTCCTGGTCAACGGGGAGAATCGTTATTTGTTTGCAGGAGCCCAGGAGGAGGCCGAGGCGGCCCAGGACACGCTCGAGGCCAAAGGCTTTTTCTCCTCTGCAACCCAGAGGACATTCCGATTCCTGCAGAGTGATTCCCCACTCCGGAGCGCGCATGGCAGGAGCATCCAACATCTTCCTACGTGCGCGGGGTGCAAACGCCGAGGCTGAAACGCTGCTTTGCTTCCGACAGCATCTTCCAGCGGCCCCTCTGGGGATGCTTCTCCTGGGAAGGCAGACGTGGAGCCCGGACACACGCTCCACGTCCCACAGAGGCCTGGGTAAAACCTAAATTACGGCTCAAAAGCCCTTAGGTTTACCACCAAACGCACAAGTTTTGTGCTCCGGCTCTGCAGGCAGCATCAGTAATTCCCAAGGACATATCAAGGTTGTCCTAGGAGGACAAAATATATATATGTGCATGGTACCTGTATGGCCTGGCCAGTTAGTGCTGAAAACTACAGCTACTCTGTCCCCAACGCTTTATAAAACAGAGTTTCTCCAACCCCTGGGAGACCAGGAGAGAGGCTGTTTTACATCAAAACCCCAATATGCCCTGAAAAACAGAGGAAATCCCCTCTGATGCTGCCGTCCCATAAAGATGGCAATAGGAACGCTCACCTGCACGCTGGGCTCGGCCACAGGGAGCAGAAATGCTGCTCAGATCAAATTCTGTAATTAAATAAAAACGCACAGAAACAAGCAGCCCGCTGTCTGCTACATGTATGGCATTAGAGCATCACGATACCCTGTGGCATACGCATAATTAAGAATATATCAGGATTCACATTATAAATCCTTATTATTAAGGGGTTCATAACCTATTGTACAAACCCGCCTCGGGCTAAAACCCACCAGGCAAGGAGGCAGCTCCAGCAGCACATTTTCTTCTCGAAAGCTACTTGCAAAGTCGGGTTTAAAAGGTTATCGGCGTTTTAAATTTCTGCAATTCCACACAAGTGACAGGGGTTCACTTTGTTATTCCTAGGCTTCTACAACTGAGTGATGGGTCAAATTCCATTTAAATTAAAAGAGAGGAGAGACTCAACCTGCTTTTGTGGTTTAAAAACCCATCTAAGCACAAAGCCCACCCCACCAATTACAAAGTGATCAGTCTCATTAGCCTAATGGGCTTGCTGTAAAGAGCAGGGAGGAAAATAAGAGTGCATTAGGTCAATGGATAAATAACAGCAGGGCAGCACAGAAGCCCTCAGATGCCTCCTCTTTGTTTCTATGTCAGAGCATCAAACCCCAAATCCGGTGAAATTCAGCTCAAAGAGGAGCCATGGGCCTCCCTAAGAAAGGTGATTCCTTCACGTGCCAGCTTCACAACCCAGCTGGAGTTTGCTCCAGACTTTCAGGAGGCTCCTGCAGTTGGACATGACACTGTACCAAGGCATTTCCAGTCATTTTATGGGTTTTCCAGGAAATGGGACAATTTGGGTGCTGCTGGGAAGGAGAGCAGAGCCGTATAATCAGGGCTTACGATTTTCCCTTTTAATTGCTGGGAAATTAGGGTCTGTGCTATGAATCTCACTTCCAGAGAGGCAGCAGAAAATACAACCTCTCTCCTGACTTAGTTTACGATGCTTCGGCTTACGCAAGACTGCAAACACCGGAATGGCTGGATCCTGTTTATTGTGAACTCGTAATAAAAAAAGAGAAGAAAAACAGGGTGAAAGCTTAAAAATACCAGAGCAACTTGTGGTTTCCACCTGGATTTTGATACTTGTCTCATCTAAAAACACTTAAAGCCAAGAATGATTTATGAGATTCTCGCAGCAAAGCCGCCTCCAGCCTGCAACACGGCTACGCCTGCTTTGGAGCCTGCGGATACAGCTAAAGAAACACTATTTATCTAATAAATATATTAACTTCTAAAGTGTTTGAAGATGCCAAGAAGGGAGCATAATGAAAGACCATTTAGTAAGGACATCAAAGCTGGACATTTCTGTTCTTGAAGAGAGCCCTTCAAACACTAATGATCATGGGGTGGTTACATAACTAAAGGGACTGTCAGAGCCAAAATAATTAACATTTTGATGAACTGAAGGCAATACTGCAGCAACGCAGCATTAACACACGGTTAAGTTCGAAGAAATGCACAGCAATAGTGGACCAAAACTGTTACCTTACTAATTTAGAGACACATTCAGCCTGTAATTGGCGACCTATACGTAAGAGGAGAAAAGTTCATTTAGAAAAGTGCATTTAGATCTGTATTTAGGACAGGATGGCAAATCCTTCTGAGAGCCTGGATGGAGGAGCCCCTCCATGCAGAGGGTAGCCCATCCTCTGCAACATCTTCCTATATTTTTTAAATTCCGTTCCAGGGAAGTACCCCAGATCCTGGTCTAGCTCCTGAAGAGTTGATACAACCCAAAGAGCTGGCAAGCAGAGCTCCTGTTATGTCTATTCCTGTAACCAGCAGCAAGGTTTAAGGTATATTTATTTGCCTTTCAGACCAGCACACCAATGGTTTCTACCAATGGACAAGTCACCTCGGGTTGGCTTGGGTGGCTGCTTCATTATCACTGTGCAATTAATAGAGCGGCCGTTTGCCCTGGATATGCAGCAAAGCTGTTTCGTGGAAATGAAACACGGGAAAACCTCCACGCCAAAAGAAATGTTAATCAGGCCAGAGGAAATCTTGCCATTGGAGGCAAAGGGAAAAGAAAGAGATTTGACATTGAGAACGATGCAAGAATTCCTGACCTTAGTACAGGAAAAACAGGAGGAAGTCTTGTGACCTGGAGATAACGGAGTACTCGGCCCTATAATGAAGCAAATTAAGATCCTGCAGGACACGCTTGTTTAGAATAATGGAAATTGGAATAAGGACACCGATCACATTTGGTTGCTTCCTCCTCCCTAAATAAAAAACTAGAAGAAATTCCTGTTTTTAGGTGGCTTGGGCTGCAGGCAAAGGGAGTCCTGCGACCTGCAAGAAAGGGAGGTTTATGGACACGGGGACAGGAGAGAAGGTGAGACACGAGCGCGACAACACACAGGGTGACACTTTCATGCTCGATGGGGGGTTGATACGGACAGGCTCAACCCAGCACCCCCTAGGACAAATTTTCCCCTTGCAATTCAATGATTTTAATCTAGGGCTGGGACCATGCGGAGCAGCTGCCCAGCAGGTGAGCTGTGCAAGGACAAAATCCACCCCGAGCTTCACACAACACAGCTCCACCGAGCACTAAAATAGCAGTTCATTCCCCAAATAGCAAGGGAAATATTTGCATTTTCTTTGGACTTGCAGCCCAGGATTACACCTTCCAGGTGCCTCTTCATGCAAGCAGCAGCTTGTGCAGGAAGAGCTTTCATGGCCGCTTCACATTTGGACGTGAATGTTCTTAATCCTCAGCTCTACGAAGGTAATTAAGGCATTAATTCCACAAGGTGCCTAAGCGGCCGCGCAGCCCTGACAAGGTTAATGGAGCCCAAGCATTAAAGTACCTCACTAGACACCACAACCCCCAACAACCCGGTCCCCGGTTCCTCAAGGTTGATGGTGGTGGCTCCGAGATGGATCAACAGCCCGTGCGGTACCACACCATGGATCTGCCAACAGGAACCATCTCCTCCAACAGGAGGGAAAGACAGACCTGCTTTATCACTCTTTTTTAATAAAAGAGGCAAGATGATGGTTGTCCAGTGCCATAATTAGATACAAAAATATTCATTAATTCACCAGCTAACTAATTCACTCAGGGAAAAAAAAAAATGCATCAAAGTGATAGCGTGTGCCTTTCCTTTTTCCAAGGAAACCTAAAATAAAGTGCATGTTTTATTCAGTTTGCAAAGTTTCTTTTGAAGCGGGTTTAATCTCTTTCTAAAAGAGCTGTAGACGGAGCACAAAGCGGCCACCTCCTTTTACGATCTGGATGCAGGACCCTCTCAGCACCAAATTCATTACAAATTCAGCACTGGAGCCACTTACTGGAGAGCAGACAGCTGGAATTGGAGGATTAAGCTGGCTCCGAGGCCAATTCTCAGCAGCGTGGTGCTTTTTTGGCCCCCAACACATTTTTCTCACCGACAACCCAGAAGAGCGGCCGACATCAACACGGCCACATGGGAGACATCAACCTCACAGCTGCAGCCCAGGATCCCATGGATATTGAGGGCCCAATGGCACAGGGACCCTCCAAACCACCACAAGCCATTTAAGCCCAGCATGGGATAACTCTGTATTCCCAAACGGCCAAGCCTGCACTTCACCGAGGGCTGGATTCCCTTGGATTCCCTCCCAGGAAGGGCTCCATAAGGCACCCAACCTTCCCACTAAAAACAGGTTTCCACTAAAAAGCAAAGAAGAAAATATATATTTGCATGCAGGCATAAAGGAACTTGTCTCACAGCATTCCAGGTGTTAAGTGACATTGGCCTCAAAGCCATTTGGGACAAGCTTGACGCAAACCTGTAAGATTTCCATGAATTTGGCTATTTTCTGCTCGGTCAGACAGGCCGTCACCTCCTGCATCAAAGCAGGAGCTGCTGGAGGGGCTCTGCCAGGGGCTGCAGAGCGCACGGAGCGCCCAGTCACGGGCCAGGGCATCGACCTTCCCGGAAGCGCCCCCGCCTCCGCCCTGCCACAAGCAGAACCTCGGGGTACAAACCCACCCCAGGGAGCTAATGCAGTAGCGTGGAGGAAACTTCCCACCGAAACACGCGCCCGCCGCCGACATCCTAACGTCGGCATGGAGAAAATCTCTGCTTTTAGCACCGAGAAAGTCTGCACACAAGCAGATCCCCTTTTATCTGGGGTTTGCATTCAGCAGGTTTCGCATCACCACCTCTCTCCTCGCTGGGGAGGGAACGGGTGCACCAAATACAGCTTTCAAAGAGGTGTATTTTTAGTTTACAAACCTGACAGCACATCTGCAGCATAAAGTGTTTGCAACAGTCCTATTTTTCCCCTCTCACCCTGCAGTTTCTAAAGGAATATTTAACAGCATCCGCTCCAGACCAGCGATCCCCTCCACTGCTGCACGTTTCAGTAACGTCTCTGTCCTGCTTGCAACAGGTTTATACCCAAAGGGGACACTCACAGGAACAAGCCCCGGCACCAGGAGCTTGCACGGAGCAGCCCTCGGAGCTGGGAAGTGGGACAAGCTTTGCCAAGTGAATCATCATCATTCCCCACCCCAGCGATAAACACAGAGGCTGCACGTTGTGTTTAATCCAGAGCAGCTGCATTAGTCCCTTTAGGGAACTAAAGCTTGAGGAGCAGCGCTGTGGTTCTGTCTAAACCCCGTCATTGCCATTCTGGCCAGGCAGGAGCCCTGTCCTGTACATACAGATCACAGAGAAAAATTAAAAAATGCCCCTGCAGGTGCATTTTTACCCTTGCTCACCAGGCATCCCAGCAGGATATCCTACTGTAGGATATTTTAATCACACAGACTGGCGTGGCCACATAACTTGTAGCAGCTCCCTTTCATGTAAAAAATGCCCCTGCAGGTGCATTTTTTGCTCACCAGCCATCCCAGCAGGCTGTTGTAGGATATTTTAATCACACAGACTGACATGGCCACATAACTTGCAGCAGCTCCCTTTCATACAGGTGCAACGGCCGCATGCGCTCCGGGAGGTGGAATGAGACCCGGAATATTTCCATACAAAGGCTTTGGAAATCAAATCAAGCCCAAGCCAGGGAGGCGGCAGCTGACAGCTTGCTCCCTTTATGTCTAACTTTGTATCGAGCTGTTCCATAGCAAGACAAAATGTGCTGTGAAAAAAGAGGCCGTCACCACCTTGCAGCTGGGGACACGAAGGCAGAAGGGAGTCTCACTTGTCCAAAGTCACCAGAGCTGCCAGGACAACAGGACAGCCCAGGCCAAACCATGCTCTAACCACAGGGTGCCACCTTCAAATTAGCACCACCTCGTTTATCTTTCCTACTTCCTCCCCGTACCCCGGCATGCAGGAAAAGCTGCTTTTCCTCTCGCGGCGGGTTAGCCTGACACTGCGGGAAGCGATGCTGCTGTTTACGCGCAGGGAAGCGGATCCGCAGGGTCGCCGCTGCGAGCGCAGGAAGCCCGGACGTGCCGAGACTCGACCTCTGCTACTAGTAAAATCACTGCGAGGCCAAAGGCTCCTTCCTTTTCCACGTTTGCTGTAAACATTTTGGTATGGAAAAGCACAGCAAAAACTAACGGAGCTTCAGAGGGACGCTTCATCCCGCTGGGGCGCATCGCTGGGGCCAACTGTGAGCAGGAAATATTGAACTATCCATGAGCCTCCCCATACGGCAACCAACGGACTCCTAACGAGCCTCAGGTAGGAATACGCGGAGAGAGAAATGGGGAGCTGTTAATGACACAAAGCAAAGCCCAATTGCTCTGCTCTTGCCACCCCTAGGCCAGGGCGCTGCTCCTGCCCCAGCAGCAGGGACTGGAAGCAGAAACCTCTTTGCCATGTGCGGATTATAAAAATAAACAAACTGGAAAAAAAAAAAACCACTTGGAGAGGTCCCTCACTTCTTGCAGTTCTGCTTCTCCCCCACTCCAAGTCGGCCTCATTTAACACTTTAAACTCAGCACCTGCCTGCATGTGAGATGCGAGTTAAGAGAAGTAATGCAGACCATGTAGGAGCCCCTCTGGAGGCCGAGCAGCTCCTGCTGCTCAGGTTCCTGCCCGACACTGAAGCTCTTAAGCAAGGGCAGCCTTACCTCATCCCACTCGGAAGCAAAGGACGGCGACTTCTCCAGCCTCTTTTTCCCGGTGCTGCAGTTGGAGAGCGATTCGCTCCGGCTGCCCATGGCATCGTCCTCCGTGGGGGAGCAGGTCAGCAGATCGGAGTCCGACTTGGACAAGCTGCGGCTGAGCTTGAGCTCGGCTTTGGGCTTGCTGCCCGCGTGGGCTCGGCCCACGGCGCCGCCCCTGTCCCCCTCGGCCTCGGGGCGCTGCGGCACGTGGGCCGTGCCCGGCGCCGCGGGAGCC